CACTGAACGATGGAGACACGAAACAAGATGTCGGGGAAAACAGCGCACCGTCGATCGTTCCCGCACGAATCGGTACCGCGTGACAACGCGTCGCGTCGGTTCGATCCATCGTCGAGGAGGGTGATCGTTTCACCGACGATCGCCGTCGATCTCGATCTCGATCTCGAGCGAACCCTCTGTTCGTAAAACGCTGTTCGCGAATGGACCTGCGGTTCCGTTAACTCGCCAGCGCCATCTATCATTTTTTTTTTTTACTAGGATTCCGTGGTACCGAGCTCGCCCGGAATCGACTGTGTATTCGTATTTTCTATAAAATTATAAAAGATCTGGATCCACCTTTTTTCTCTCGTTATTCGCCGTTTCGTCCTCGAGTCTGCTGATCCTCGAAGCGTTCACCCCCGCTCGACCGGTGATCGCGTACCGGAAGCGCGCGCCGCTTCCGTTCGCGGTGCTCTTAATTAATAAACCTAACAACGCGCCGCTGCATCTCTGCACTTTGCTAAATACCACTAAACTGCTTGTTGCGAGGTTTCCACTGTTGTCGCACAGTCGTTCTCTTTCCAGGCTGTACACCGCCTTTTCTTTCTCTCCCTCTCTCACTCTCTCTCTCTCACTCTCTCACTCTCTCACTCTCTCACTCTCAATTTGTCTATTTCTCCATCCTTTGTCTCTCCTTTCTCTTTTTTCCCATTTTTTCTCTTCCTCCCTCTACCGCCTCTGTCCCCCTCCCCACAATTCCGGCAAGAAAAAGAAAGAAGAGAAACACGCGGCTGCACGCGTGTTCCTGCGGACGCGCGACAAATGAGCGGTCACACGGAAACAAGGTCGACAATTGCGGTACAATATCTAAAAAAGTCATAGCAATATGTAGCAATGATATTAATAAGAATAATCATTATAAGAGTAATAAGAATAACGATAATAGTAGTAGTAATAGTAGTAATAAACAAAGCATTTGACAAGCTGCAGAATACAATACAAAGGTACAAATAATAGGGAACAAAAATCCATTATCATTTCGGGACTGGTCGTGTCACGAATTATAACATAACATGTAGTTGTGAGATTGTGTGTCTGTGTGTGTCTGTGTACACGTTTGTTCCTTCGCGAACAGGCTGCATACAGGCGCATATTTCTATTACGCACGCGTCTTTTACGCTTTTTCTTTGTTTCTTTTTTTTCATTTTTTCTCCATTTTTTTTTTTTTTTTTTTCTTTTTTTTTCATTAAAACGAACAGCATCTCTTCCGGCGCCGCTCTCGATCAACGAAAGGACGATTTCTTATTATTCTCTCTTTTCTCTCTCTCTCTCTCTCTCTCTCTCTATCTTTTCGTAGATCAGCGATCGATTTAAGTATCGTCAGTGTTATCGATGCGTCACGCGAGATTTTCTCTCTCACTCTTCCTCACGCCTTCTCTCGCGCTCTTTCTCGCTCTTTCGTACATCTCGCTCTCTCGCATGCCATTCTCTTCTCTCTCCTCGTCCCACAAACTTTACGCAATCACGCTGAATTTTACACCGATTTTATCCCATTTACTATACGCACTGTTCTACCACTCTCTCTCTCTCTCTCTCTTTCTCTCTCTCCCTCTCTCTCTCTCTCTCTCTCTCTTTTTCTTCGCCTCTCTTTTTTCGTACGCACAAACACTGTTCCGCTTTTGTCTCGTATGCTTCGATATTTATATATATGTATATATATATATATATATAAAAATACAAAAAATAATTTACAAAATGATATTATAAGTATATTACACGCGAGTTTCATTTTTGTCTCACACTTGTCTGCTTTTTGGTTTCTCTTTCTCCCTTCTTTCGCTCTAACGTTCCCCGATATTCTTTTCTTTATATTTTTTTTTTCTTTTTTTCGGTTTCTCAGCCGGTGTGTTACTTGTCGATCGTTCCTGTGCCTATGAATATATGCGTGTACGTATGTATATGTGTGTGTGTTTCCATCCCTCGTTCCTCTTCTCTCGCCCTCACGTTTCGTAATTCGCCGATCTCCTCTCTCGCTTTTGCTCTCCGGGCGCTCGAAAAATTTCAAGAAAGGCTTCTTTCAAAATTTCTCTCTCTCTCTCTCTCTCTCTCTCTCTCTCTCTCGTTCTCTCGCACTCTCTGTCACTCTGTCGCTCTCACGTCTGAACCTCTTGTTCACGCCGATGTTCAATTCGAAACAAGCAACACACTGAAAGCTCTCTCTCACTCTCTCACTCTCTCTCTATCTCTCTCCCTCCTTTCGCTCTCTTATCTCGTTTCCATTGTTTTTTCTTAGATTTTTCGCTTTTTTTTTTTGCTCTTTTGGTTTGTCTCCTCGTTAAACAAAATATAATGTAGCAGTGTATGTATATGTATATAATATATATATGTATATATAATCGATATTTTCTCATATAAGTATGTATAATGCTCTATACATATATATTTATATTTTTATATATATGCACGTGTCCTCTATTCTTATATATGTGTATATATATATACACACAGACACACATATGTGCGTATATGTATATATATATGTATATATATATATATATGTATATTAATAACGTATTCGTGGGCCATAAAGAGATATAGAAAACAAATCCGTTACAACAGGATAATCACCGTGGTCGTATATCGAACCACCGTATTATTAACAAAAATATATATATATATATATACATATGCGTGTACGTGTATATATATATATATTATAG